CATGGCATGGAGTCATAGCATCCTCACGGTTGCGAGACCTTCAAGATCATAGAGTCATAGAATTTTGGGGTTGCAATGGACCTTACAGATCTTCTAGCCCCAACCCTCTGCCCTGGGCAGGGACAGCTCCCACCAGAGCAGGTTGCTCAAGGCTTCATCCAACCTGGCTGTGAACACTGCCAGGGTTGGGGCAGCCACAGCCTCCCTGGGCAACCTGTGCCAGTGTCTTGATGGCAAAAAAACCTGGAAAAGAACTACTCACAGACTTTTATCTCTGAGTAGTAGGTATTTGTTTATTCAGCACCAGGCACAAGGGGAATCGCTTCACCAAACTTGTGCACTGAAGGCGACACTTCTCTGGTTTCTATACATTAAAGACTCATACATATTCATTATTTCCAGGAATAGGTGGTCATTATCACATTTAGTTCTTGGAAATCATAATCATAATCTCCCCTTTTGTCTCCTCCCACTTGGCATTAGTCCCATGGTCTCTGGTGGTCATCCAGGGGTTGTCAGGAGGAAGGCTGATAGTCTTCATCAGATTGATCTTTTCACCTTTGATCTTGCTCTTCAGCTGCCACATCCTGTGTCCAGTTGCATCTAGTTTTACTTCCTCGTAAATACATTGTGTTTACCTAAGCTAAAATGATGCCCCAAGTTCTACACTTTTCATGCTTAATAAACTAAAACAATGTCTTATTATTCAACCTTTTACCTTTTGTTTATTCAGGTGCTCTCTACTTGACTATTCCCTATCCTACTCTCAGCCTTAACTATTCGATTCCTGTTATCAGTATCACCACCCTTACAGGGAGCATGTCTTCCTAATATCTAACCTAAATTTCTTCTCCTTCAATTTGTACCCATTGCTCCTTGTTCTATCACTGCAGTTCCTAACACAGAATCCCTCTGCAGCTCCCCTGGAGCCTCTTCACATACTGGAAGGTGCCATGAGGTCTCCACACAACCTTCTCCTCTCCAGGCTGAACACCCCCAACTCCCTCAGCCTGCCTACTTAGGGGAGATGCTCCAGTCCTCTTAGCAACTTCGTGGCCTCCTCTGGACTTGCTCCAAGAGTTCCGTGTCCTTCTTACATTGAGGGCACCAGAACTGTGTGCAATATTCCAGGTGGGGTCTCACCGGAGCAGAGGGGAAGAATCATCTCCTTTGACCTGCTGCACACACTCCTGTGGATGCAGCCCAGGGCTGGGTTAGTTTCTGGGCTGTGAGCGCAGAAAGCCATCAAGTCCAACCATTAACCTGTGACTCTGCTGTAACCCCTAAACTGTCTCTTTCAGCACCAGGTCCAGACACCTCTTAAACTCTTCCAGGGATGGTGACTCCACCACCTGGGCAACCTGCTCCAGTGCCTGACAAGCACAGAGCACAGCTGCTCCACAGAGTCATCCTGTTGCCTTTGGATTAAAAGAGCTCCAGGCTGGTTTGAAAGAAGCTCCTGGAGCTGTCCTGTGTCCATCATGTGGTTCCACTGCAGGAATACTAGAAAATACCCCAAATTCTGTAAACTTGGATGTTTTGTTGTCACTGAGCACTTAACCCCCAGTCCTCAAAGTCTGTGTTTCATCAATGAGGAGATGAACCAGTTAAAATGATTAAGAGATAAAAACAAATGAAGGAAAAGGGCCCTGCAGCAGCAGGCTGGGCAGGCACTGAGGCTGCAAGATGTGGGAGCCTGAGCCTGGTTTCAGCTGTGAAGATGAGCAGGAATCCATGTAATGGGAAGTTTCTGAACTAGTCAGGACACATGTCAAATAATAGTATCTAAATCAGGTAGCTGAGTGATACACAGGATTACAGGGATAGTTTTGAAGAGGATCTTAAATGAGTTTCACAGACTACAAGCTCTCTTATGGCTGCAGTAAATTTGAGCCAGGGAGAGCCTTTGGGAAAGTACCAGAAAGATGACAGTTTTCATTTGGAAAAGAAGCGAGTCTGGAGTGGAGATTAATCTTGGTTCCCTGTACAGAAATTGCTGTTGAATTTGTTTGGAGCTATGACACAGAAGAGACATTGCTGAGATAGTCTGTAACAGTATTTGGTAACAGTATTCTGCAGATAATGCAACTGCAAAGTTCAGTATTTGATTTTTCCCAAATGCCTAATATTTAATCCCACTTTTCTCATTGGGTTATCTATTAACACTCAGCAAACAAAGCAGTATATATTTGTGTGCATCATTCCCATCGGAACTTTGCTTTTTTTTCCAGAATGGAAAACCATCTATGGCTTTGTATTTTATTATTGATTCCTGCCTTTGCCTCATCAGATGTTTTGGTAACACATGTCAGAAACATCAAGGTAAGTAATCAACTATGTGTGAGGCTCCCACTCTTCATAGATTAACTTCCTGCCATTTATCAGAGTTCATACAGCACTGGCAGCAGGAGCTCTGTGTTCTCTGCTACCAGTGGACACAAGATCAGGCTTGAGACTCAGCTGGTTGATCTCTAACAAGCCTCTGTTTTCAATCAGCTCTGAAGTTCTCCTATCTTTCCTTTAAAAAACATCCCTTTGCTCTGTTTTCCCTGTCATCCCGATGTCGTGGTCAAATGCTTCAGTAAAAATTCAAACATGTAAAGTGATTGGTGCTGCCAGGGAACCACTTTAGCACCTGCGGGGCAATGTCATCAGTGAAAAGATGCCTCCAAGAAGCTGAAGATAGAGATGTTACATGGCATTGAGATAAATGTCCACTATCCAAATGACATGGTAGGATTTCTTTAGAAAGATTTGTGTGTTAGCCCCAAAGGAGCCATTCTGGTTTTGTTGATCTCTGAGTGCTTCTCAATGTTTTGCCTAATATTCTTTGGTTAAGTTGCAGCCACTACTCCTCACCTCCATATATTTCTCTGTCTCTCAGTAATTCTGTACTGTGAAAGGCTACAGAGGGCAAATCTCTTCAGGGTCCATTTTGAGTTTCTAAGTAGAACAGGGCAAAGCAATTTACAGTCCATTTCTGTTGATAATGTTATGGTCTTCACCACGACTTTTTCTTTGAAAATCAGGATAGTAACATACCTAACTGTTAAAAATCAACTTGCAATATATTGCTGCACACTGGGAGTGCCAGGGATTCTTGTCATTTAACTGTTATGTGGCCCAGATATAACAGCTTTTTCCTGCTTATGAACATACTGCCTGTTATCTCTGTGTGTCTTGCAATGTCTCTAAATGGCAGACAGCCAAAGCTCTGTGCAATGCTCCATCCATACATGCAGAACACTACAGAAAGATCAGTTGGTTCTCTCAGTTTTGGTACATAATGCAAACGTGTTCTGATTGAATGGAGGAGATTGCTGTGTAGTGTGAAAGTCTCAGTCCCCACTTGAGTCTCAGCTCCTTTGGATAAGCAGTGTGCCAGTGGTGAGTGTTGAAGTGTGGTGGCAAGTCTGCCTGGCTGATGGCCAGCTTGAAAACTGCCAAAGCTGCTTTTAAAGGTCAGGTAAACACAGCTAGCAGACCCAATTCTGGTGAAAATTGAACAAGAATCAGAATCAAAGATCCCTATGGGCACTGGTGCAACTTGTTCCTATGCATGCAACTACTAGAGGTGGAAAAGCTCTTTCTAGATTCAAAACAACCTGTAGAACTCTATATTCAAAGCATTCAAGGTACAGGTAGCAATGATACAGCCTTCTTTTTGTGGCCCTCATTCTGGCAGCAGCAAGACTCCTGCAGAGCTCACAAGGAAGTTTGGTTTGCAGAGCTGAGCTGCATTATAGCCTCTTCTCTGTGGCAGCCAATTAGCATCAGTTGAATTAAATCTTCAGTGTTGTTGTAGATGCAGCAATAATTTTCACACCTGTTTTTCCTACCTAGCACTTAGGGATATATGCAAATACCTTGTTCAGTGTCCTGAGTTCCCAGAGGTCACTTGAAGTTCACTGTACACTCTTTGCTGACTCTTTCAGTCACACTGTGGTTTAGTTTCCTAAGCTCTACAATCAGGGCTTCTTTCAGCAAGTGCTGTAATGGGAACCCTCTTTTCATCCCTGTTTTCTTGGGAATTCAAATTTCTTTGTTTCCTCTCCAATTTCTATAGATTTTTTTGCACCTCTATTCTTTGCCACAGCAAAACAGGATGAAACAAAAGAAAAGTTTGTCACTGTTACACAGCTGAAAACAAAATAATTCTAGTAATTGGTGCACCTGGCAAATATGTGGGAATAATACAGAAACATTTTATCAAGTAACAATTACCCAAGGGAGAGGATGTTAAAATCTCATTTTGGTCTAGAATTGCATAACCTTTTTGAATAGCAAACTGTTGCTTTCCACTCACGTATCTTAAAATGACCTTGATGTTAGTGAGGTCCTTAGGTCCTGCCAAGTGAATCATTAAAAACGAAAAGAACAGAACATAATCACAGCATCAGTGAGTCCTGTAATCCCCTCCCCTGTGCAAATCAGGCTCAGCTAGAGCAGACAGCCCAGGGTTTGACTATCTCCACTGAAGATCAGCCCAAGTACAAAGTGAGTAATACCTGTCACTGAGAGGCTTTTCTGTAGTTTCTTTTTCAAGAATTGCAGAGAACCTCTCAAAACAGTTACAGAATTGGAACAGAATTCCTTCAAAACTACTGC